GACTCTTTTAACCTATTGATCTGAGTGGGAAACCCTCAGATCCTGCCTATCATGCCTGCTATCAGCTTCTCCTGATAAAAGTTCTTTTTGGACAGAAACTGTTCCAAGAGTCCTTCTTTCTTGGGATGAGGTTTTGAAGTGGACCTTTACAGACACACTCAAAAGCTCAGGACAAAGTTCATGCCACAGGAACAGGAAACAACTCCAAACACAAAAGCCCAAGAAGATATAATAACCCACCATTCCCAGCTACGTGTGGTCAGCTGCTCCAGAGCCACATGTTTTGTGGTTCTGCTCTTCAATAAACTACAATTAAAGCAGTCTCCATTTTGTTTATTCCCAGCTTGGACTGAACCCTGAAGATTTTTCTTTCAACAGTTCAATTAAACTGATTTCTTGCTAGACAGCTTATTGCACAGGAATCTTCTCAACTAACTGGTTAGCACCTGCTTGGAGTCTTTGGAATTCAAAGGAGGTTTAATTTTGTTTGCTTGTAGCTACATAGGAATTCTAGGCTGATCCCTCTAACTTTGCCCCCAGGTTCTGCCATTCCTTTTCCTATATTTTCTGAGTAAGAAAGAAGTGATTTGCGTTGTCTCCCCCCCTGCTCCCATCATTCAGTATTGTATCTGGCTAACTTGTGCTTCAAATATCCTCTTCATTTCTATTACTTTTGACAATGAGCACGGTGCTGAGTTTAACCTAAGACTTATTTCATTTATTTGTAGATGTTAGAAGCAAAAGTAATTTGCAATAAATTCCTATGGGCCTTTACTTTGAAATAGACTCATCTTGCATATCGAGACTGAAAATCCAATGGCTGAATTTCCCCAATATTCTGCGCCATAAGCATTTCAGTCCTTTCAGTCTAATCTATAGACTAAGTCTCTTGGTGCATAATGCAGTGTGATTATTAATGCAATGCATGTGTTTCAAATTTATATACTGTCTCTTTTTTTAAAAAAAAAATCTTTGGACCAAGTATCAAGTTTAACCTGTCAATCACTTACCCTGGCAATAATGACAGTCATTGAAAGAACTTCTTTTTTTTGCTCTGAGAGGCTGAGAACTTTGTCTCTTTGCTAGTTTGCTCTCATCTATATCCTATCATTTAAATATGGGCTAGTCATTTTTAGAGAAGAGCTGGGAGAAGGGGCACTCCTTTTTGCTTAACAAAGAGAGCCAGGTTTGTCTTGTGATGAAGGGACTAGGCCAGAACCTGGGAGTCTGGGTGAGTTCTAGTCTCACCTTAGGCATGAAAGACAGCTGATTTTGGGTCAGTCACTCTTTCTCAGCCTAACTCACCTCACAGGGTTGTTTTGTGGGGAAAATAGGAGGAGGAAGGGATATGTCTGCCACATCAAGTTATTTATAAAAATAACAAACTGGGATAAAAACATCTAATAAAATAAAACTAATTTGAACCAAGTACCCAGGTCCTTCCTGCTGCCTTCATCATCTGCTGCCCCAATTGCTTCAATTAGTTCAGTCTGAAAAATCAGAGATCTGGACTTGGTGTTTCTGTGGCTGTCTCTAATAACAATAGATAATTAAAACTAAATCTCCATGTACTTGTCCTTCTTTTTCAAAGAGCTCACCATGTTGTCCCTTATCCCTCATAATTCCTTGAGGCTACTTAGAAAGCTTTGTCATTGTGGGAGATCCTTGACATCTATTAAGTGATAAGTCATTTTCTTATCCAAGGAGTTATGAGTTGGCTACAAGGTCAGTTCTCTGTGGAACAGGAAGGCAGGCCCCAAGTGAAGGCCAGGGGAATTGAAAGCACAGAAATGTTATTCCCAGGAGAACGTTGAATCTAAACAAATTTTCCAGAAATCACAAGTTGCAGTTTTCTGCAAACTTGTTGGCCTTCAACAGTCAAACCTGGAATGGTGCCATTCTCTTCAGTTAATGCCTTTCTATTACTTTCAACAGACCTCTGCACTGACAGTAGAGCTTGGCAGTTCACTCTCACTCCAGCTTCCTCCAGAGTCAGTGTTTCTCAACCTTGACAATTTTAAGGCATGTGGAATTCTGGGAGTTGAAGTCCACATGCCTTAAAATTGTCAAGGTTGAGAAACACTGCTCCAGACTTTGGGCAAATTCCTCGTCTTTCTATTCTGATTTCTACTTAGGAAATTGGCTGCAGCATAGGACCAATCTGTTTTGTATGAACCCATTCCTGGGGTTTAAGGAAAACTTGTATCATACAACCTGACTTCTGGAAGGTGCAGTTCGGAGGCAACATCTCAGAAACTTTGGTCCTCAGACTGAAAGGCTGGCTTACAGCCAGATCTAGGAATGCCAAGGCACACTGGATTTCCTGACACCCAAAATGACAGCCAAAGTGGTTGGCATTATGAAGTTTGTGTTTTGGTCTTTATTGCAGAGAGTAATATATACTTCGATGAATTCGAGATTAAAAGCAAAAATTCAGTATTTTGTGACTTTGTGAAGTATTTTTTTTTTTTTTTGAGCAGCCTCCTTTAAACCACAGCACAAAATAAGAGACACATTTTGCTGCAGGGTTAAACAATCTCTTTGTAGTTAGAGAATGCATTTTTCTTATTTTGGAGTTTTAGGCTGCAGGATTTGTTGCAATGTTGCAATGCTGCAACAGAATATACACATGGTTTCAAAAATGAAAAATCACTCTTTGAAATTTGGTGGCTTTACAATTAAATTTTGGCAAGACATTCTGGCAATGCTTACCTACAGTTTACTTACCCATCTTATAGGTAAAAAGTCATGATGAGCAAATCCTAGTTACCTTTATAAGGCTTATGCTCAGTACTTGGATTTTAAAAATATGCACAGAGTATACTGATTTAATTTATATTATTTGAATAATAATGAGTGATTGATTAGATTCCCTTTAGGCACATGGAGCTGTGGCTATTTAAAATATAAATAAGAATGAACTGCTTAATGAGGGCTTTGAAAAAGATAAGCACAATTTTAGATTATATAAACACAGTACTATACAGTACAATTTCAAAACCACAGGACTTGTTCTATTTTATTTTGGATTGATTAGAGACCCCTTCAAGTACAGTCTGTTCACTTTTGATATCTGGTATTTGGTTCCCTTTAAGAATTCAGGAGAATAACACGTGATTAGATTAACATTAACATTAAGAGCAACAATTTAGTTTCTGCTTGTGGGCCCAGAGACCAAGCCCTGTGAAGAACAATGAACATTGCTAAGCATGCTTAATTTTGAGAAGACATTATTGAAAGGGAGATACCCTATAAGAGTGCTCTTCAAGTATCTGAATAGCCGTCACATAAACAAAGTCTAAATACATTATCATTCCAGATGGATTTGGGCAAATCCAGTCAAAAATGAGTTGTACTCCTAGCACACAGCTCGGCAACCTGCGGCTCTGGAGCCGCATGTGGCTCTTTGAGCCTTCCCCTGTGGCTCTCAGCCTCCTCTGCCATTTGCAGAGAGAGATAGAGACAGAGAGAGGCACTTGCATTTCCCTGCTTCTCTCTCTCTCTCTGTCTCTGTGTTTGTGTTTATGTGGGTGTTTGTGTTCGTGTGTATGTATGTGTGTGTGTAAAAGAGAGTGGACTCACTGTGTTCTCCCACAAGCTGAAAATCCTTTTGGGCGTGGCTCCTCCCTTTGCTGCGTCTTTGCAGGAAGCAGGAAACAGGAAGGGCAGGAGAGAGCTAGCTAGCCCAGCTATGCTGGCTCAGGAATTCTGGGAATTGAAGTCCATGAGTCATAAAAGAGCCGAGGTTGCCTACCTCTGAGCTTGTTGGAGAACAGCTTGAAGCCAGGTGAGCAGAAGATGGGAGAGGGGGGGAGAAAGAGAGGGGGGGGGAAGGAGGGAGGGAGAGAGAGAGAGAGGGAGGGAGGGGGGAGGGGGAAGAGGACTGGCAGACCAAGGGCAGAAAGAAAGAGAGGAAGAGAGAGGGAGGGAGAGAGAGAGACACAGAGAGAGACCCTTTTGATATCTTGTATGTATATATATTATGTATTTTCTGAGGTTTTCATGGGTGTTTGTATGTAGGTCTTTGGTTGTTCGGGTTTTCTCCCGCGTAAAATTGGAAGTGTCTTGGCGACGTTTTGACGAAGTCCCATTCGTCATCTTCAGGCTGGTGTTTTCAGAACAACCAAAGACCTACATATATATTATGTATATATATGTATGTGTATATATATATATATGTATGTATGTATGTATGTATGTATGTTGAGAAAAGTAATCGAACACCGGGATAAATAAAAACAACTGTTTAATAAACTAAGAATAAACTAATAATTAGAGACAAATATGTATGTATATGTGTACATATATATATATATATATATATATATATATATATATATATATATGTGTGTGTGTGTGTGTGTGTGTGTGTGTGTGTGTGTGTGTGTGTGTATGTGTGTGTATGTGTGTGTGTGTGTGTGTGTGTGTATAAGGTAAAAAAGGATATATGCAGTGTTATCTTCCTTTTAGATATCAAAAAGGTTTTGCGGTTCCCAGTGTTTTGTTTTTGGTTGGAAACGGGTCCAAGTGACTCTTTGAGTGTTTTGGGTTGCCTACCCCTGCCCTAGCAATTGTATGAAGCCATTGCTGGGCTTTTACCATCACCCAGGTCTGGCTTCCTGTTGCCCTATTCATGTCACTGTATTTAAACTGAGAGTATCTTCCAAATGGTTTTATAGTCATGGATGGGCAGGTAATTTTCCTTTTTAACTGGAAGATGAATAGAGATTGGCTGATGCATTTCCAGGATCATCTATTGATCAGGAATGGATTGATGGATGGATTGATTGACCCTCTGGGGTCAGTTCAGACTTGCAAAGACAAGTTCTAGTAAGGAAAAAGAAATCTAAGAATCTTTAATCTAGCAAGTTGATTGCTTCCCTTTTATTGAACATGTTCAGACAGATGCTGGATAGAAACCTGCCTGGGATGTTTTAAGTGAGATTTCATCACTGAACTGTATTTGGACTCTGTGGTCTAATGTTGCCATTCCAAGTAACTGAGGCCATTATTTATTTTTATTATATTATTCAAAATGAAACACATAAGTCATTGGATACTATTGCATTTCACACACAGGGAGGAGAATGTGGTAAAATTGAAAGTTTTAAAGGAATGTTAACCTAGCTGGGTATCGTGAAAACAGGCATGCAAAAGAATGGGGCTCCCAGTTATTCACAGTTCAGTATAAGCTTCTGTGTCCCATTCATTGTAAAAATCTCATCAGACAAACTTTCTGAAATGTGGTTGGTGGCTGAGGTTTCCCCCTTGTTTTTAATCATCCAGGTTTTTTTTCTTTAGCTAGTAAACTGCTTCTGGTCCTGTAAGTGCCACAGAAGAGTTGTTTACAATTTGGAATACTGAACAAGATGCTGGCCAATTTCTGAGACGTTTTTACAGCCTAAGTGAAAAGAAAATATGCAGATAGTTAAAGGAACCTAGTATACCCAGAAAATAATTAAGGCTCATCAAGAAAAAAATTAAAACAGATTTAAGTTTCTTGTTATGAGCTGATGAATTGAAGTACATTTAAACATGGAAATCTAATTTTGAACCCCCCCCCCTTTCCCTGACTTTCAAATACAAGTAGTCCTAGATTTAGTGAGCATTCGAAGTTACAATGGCACTGAAAAAAGTGATTTATTACCATTTTTCACACTAATGAACAATGCAGCATCCCTATGGTCAATGATCAAAATTGATTGCTTGGCAACTGACTAATATTTGTGACAATTATAGTGTCCTGGAGACCGTTTTGTGAGCTTCTGACAAGCAAAGACAATGGGGAAGTCAAATTCACTTAATAACTGTGTTACTAACTTAACAGTTGCTGTGATTCACTTAACAACTGTGGCAAGAAAGGTCGTAAAGTGGGGCAAAATTCACTTAACAAATGTCTCGCTTAGAAATTTTGAGCTCAATTGTGATCATAAGCCGTGGACCACCTATACAATTTCTTTTCAGCTGAAAACACTTTCCTCTTCAAATTCACCTTATGAGTTTTGAAATTGAATATATCAACAATATATAGAATTGAGCTGCACAAGTTGCCAGTGGATTTCCAGATGCAATTTATGGTGCTGGTAACTACTTATAAAGCCCTTCAAGGCCTAGGTCCGGTTATTTGATAGGCCTGCCGATCTCCCTGTGATTTCTACCTGATCAGTAAGATTGAATAGAGTTGGTGCCCTTCAATCAAAAAATGCTATTTATTGGAACCCAGGAAACATGCCTTCTCAGTCATGAACCTGTCCTTTGGTGCAAGACACCCCCCCCCCAAGAGAGCCAGCTTCCATGCTAATAGTGTTCCAGAAAATTTAAAAACATGGCTGTTTCCCCAGGCCTTGGGATGGAGTGTTTGTGTAGCCTTATCAGTGTTTGTATTATACGTGGGATACAACTGAAAAGCCACTTCAGATTCTACCTTGTTTTTCTGTTTTTATACTGTAAGCTGCTCAGAGTAGTTCTAAGTCGGGTGGCCTTCCAAATCTAATCAACACATAGAGATGGGGGTAGGACTAGATGACTTCCAAGGTTCCTTCCAACTTTTTCATTATTATTATTATTATTATTATTATTATTATTATTATTAACCAATCAAAGAAATGAAAAATTATAATACAACAGTAAATTAAAAATGTATTTACCTGTGAGAGCCATTGATAGACAAAATTCATCTTTTAAAATCTTCAAAACTTCTTGAAGCCCTTCTTTACCCTGTCTCAAAAATGAATGGCATTGTAAATGATGTGGCTAACCTAGCTTGAAAATATAGAAAATCCTGCAGTTTTCAAATAAAAGGCTCTCAGCAACAGCATTTTCTAGGATGTTGGCTGTATATTTATTTATTTATTTTGTTTCTAATCAGAATTGTCAGCGTTTAAACCTATGTAAAACCTGTTGACCCTATCTGAGCAAGATGCCAGTGCCTTGACTGGGGAAAAGGGGGCATATATATTCCATTTCCAGTTCTCAAAAAATATTACTTGTCTCTTAGCCATTCCCAAGAGTATTTGGGAATCTTCATTATCTCTAACAGCATTGCTGAGAGACCAAATAAATTGGCATAGTAGGGAAGTTTGAACTAATTATTATGTATGAATCCGCATGAACCATTTCATTTACCATCCAGGTTTCTTGGTACTATTTTGGGTTGCAACTTTTTTTCATGGATTAAAATAAGTCCTTAAAACTGTCTCTGGTTTCATTTAGATATTTAACTTCCATGCAGACTTTTCATATGCTAGTTCCACCAAAGTAAATAGGTGCTCATATAAAAGCACTGAGAAGAATTTTTTAAAGATGCAAATTGTTTCTATTGACTTTTTTTAAAAGTAAAGCTATCTTATTTTGCACATAATTTTTCAAAACTATTTGCTGTTTCTCAGATATGTGTCTTAACCATAAATCATCTGTGAATTTTTGAGACCATGATCCTTAGATTTTTCTGGGAACTAATGTGAGCTACTGTCAGTATAATTGTTTGTGCTTAGTGGAGTAAATTTTAGAATCTTGCAAATTTGTTCCCAGAAGAATCTAAGGATCATGGATTTATGTTCCTACTAATTATTATTATTAAGTTACTACAGTATTTTATTTGCAACATAGCTCATAACCAGAAAGAAACTGGAACCAGTGTGGCAAACAGGGATCAATTCTGGGTTAAGAGATACAATTATCAGGTAGGTCCAGAAAAAAAGATAAGATTTTATTTATTGGATACCAGAAAATGGGGACACGGAGGGGGGAGGGGGAAAGGGGAGAGCCAAAAAAGTCAAGATGTCAATTTTAATTATAAATCAAGGTCCTCCCTTTTTTAATGCGTGTTATGTAAAACATGTAAAAATGGGCCAAGGCTTTGATTGTATGATCATAGCTACTAACTTGACTTTTTTGACCCTGTTGCAGATGCCTTGCAAGGAGAGTTTAATTTTCTCCAGAATGGTTTAATTACAGCTTTCATTTTAGTGCAGTTCTAGTGACCTTACAACATACCATCACTTTCTTCTTTTCCATTTTGCTAAACTTCCATGCCTCCAGCTATCATAAAATTCAGGCAAGTGTATTGTTGTGCCTATAATTAGGTTTATCTTTATAAGAAAGGATATAATGATATATAAAACTACAGCGATATGCTCAAGCACATGAGAGACCAAGACTAAATGCTAGATTTTTTTTATGCCTGACCAAGAACGTGAGTAAAAGCTTTTGTTTTCTGAATACCAGCCTTTCTTATGGTAAATGACCAACTTGATTTAAAACTCCCATTCTGAATAGAGATCTTTCTCTACTATTCCTGCTTGAATTATAACTTGTCATGCTAAGAGCCTGCTGCATCAGAGACATGAAGTAAATCTAAAACTGTGTGTATGTGAATACAAGCAGATGTAATGAAGCTTATTGAATAAATCAAGTTTGTACATTACGCTTGATCTTTAGACAGGCATGCAGTATGAAATCAAATGGGAAGCATTATCTAGTGTGTGCAAATCTAAAGAAAAAGGGGAAGCTGACTTCAGTTGTTTGCACAGAGATAGCTCTTTATCTTCAACTTTTTATCATAGCTACTTGTATGCAGGGAGTTAAGTTCACCTTATAAGCCAGACCCCATACAGTGGGCCTGCCGATGAAGACACATTTTGCTCCAAGTGCCAATGCTTTCAATACATCATTCCCAGTTCGTATTCCACCATCTAAGTAAACTTCAATTTTGCCTTGCACTGCGGTAGTAACTTCAACCAGAGCAGCAATCTGCAAACATGATCAATCAAATCAAATTATCACAGTTGCATGGGATGGGGCGACTGTAAGTGCTTAACTAAAACAAATAGACCCCTTTTCAGTTAGTTCCTAGGTCCTCCTGCTTGAGGTCCTCCAAGGTCCCTTCCAGCTCTATTCTATTCTAATATGAAGGACATAAGCATTCTCTATAACCTGGTTGTCTATTAAAATTCTTTGCCAAGAACCTCTTGTATATCTCAACAAGCCCTGCTATCCATTTGATTGAGAGGAGGAAATGGATCTTCAGGGTCTGTGCTTAAGCTCAGGAATTCTTTTCCAAGAGAGACCTAAAATAAATTAACATCCTATTAACAAGTTTTGCAAAAGCTGTTTTGGGAACCTAGCAACTGGATGGATCCCACATTTTAAATGGGGTTATAGTTTTCTAACTTTAACTTTCCTCAGGAAGGACCCTTACGATGAAAATGCAACATTGTTTGCTCTAGCCAGGTTGCAAATAGGATAAACAATGGCTCATGACTTACAGTAGGAAGGACTCCATCTAGCTGTCTTCCTCCGTGATTGGATACAATAATCCCTTGAACACCATGTCTCACAGCTAGCTCAGCATCTTCCTTTGTCAGAATCCCTTTGATGATGATTGGCAGCTGGGTCAGGCTTTGTAGCCAGGTGATGTCATTCCAATTGATAGATGGGTCTATGGATCCAGGGGGTAGACCATATTCAGTCTGGTCTTTGTCCTAAAGGAGAGAGGAAGATTGAAATTTCATTGCCATTGTATGCTCTGTTAGTATACATATGTCTGCTTAAGTAAATGCTGGCTTATTCGTCCTGCAACATTATTATAATTTAACACTTCTCTGGTAGTATGATTAGGTTTATATATAACTTATTTTTCCTTTCATTGATGCATTTGTTAAAATCTGCCGTTCCAAAATAATTATCTTTTTATGAGGCGTTTCCAAGTGTCTTGCATATGTTGCATGGAATGCTTAAATACACCTAAGAACTCTCCAGCATGCTATAATAGGCGCTTTCTGTTTTGCTGACAAGAAGACCAGAACATCAGACTTTAAAGCTGGGAAATTTCATGAAGACCCTCCACAATTTCCTGGTGCTTCACTTTTCAACTCCTGGTATATAAGTAGCCTTCGGCAACATTTTGCCATTCCTCATTTTGTTGTAAGGAAGCCTCGTAAGTTTGCAAGAGATTGCAAGGGAGGTGACAATGAGTGTTAAAATACTCTCCAGGCTAGGGACATCCCACCCCAGATCAGCCTCGGGATGCCCAAGAACATGTCCCTTCAGTAGCTAACCCAATGGGAGAAAATGGCAGTGTGAGCTTCCTTCCCTGGGGAGACAGAGATCCAGGAAGAGGAAGGGCAAAATGTAATTTAGTGATGAAGAAATGCCAACTATCCTTTCATAGTTAAGGAGATTTCTTCTTTTTTCTGGTCATTGCTTAGTACAGTCTGTTAGAGACTGAGCAATTATCCCAAGAACTCATTTACCGTAACCAGGAAAACTTCTTGTCATCTGGGATTGCATTGCCTTTGTATGACCCTTTCTTCAAGGAGAGGTGAGGTAACATGGAAACACATTCCTCTGTCTCCCTACCCCCATGGTGCATCACTAAAAGTTTGGTGTTTCCATCTTAAAGAGCTGATAAAGGTTGTCCTTACCAGGACCTTCAAAACTTTAAGAGTTTAAGAATTGCCTGACTTTTCATAAAAATGAACAGTCATTTTTTCACATGCAGACCATTTCTAGAGTTTGAACCTAGAAAAAGCCCGCAACAAACCCCCTTCCAGCAGATGTACATTTCTGACTATCAAATACAAATATGCAAAGCATATGCTAGAAATCTGGATCGGGATTCAATCCATCAATCCATCCTTGAGCTTATTTTGAGGAATGTTATAGATTTAATTTTGGATGGCTCAGTCTTTTATTACATGTTACTGAATGCATAATGGTGTTCGTCATTTTCTGTGTGAATAATCAAGAAGTGTAGATCACAAAGAACTATATTGTCACAATGGCTCGGTAGTAAAGATGTGGTGTGAATCAGTCCAGACAGGTGTTGTCTTTTTTAGCCTAATTAGGCCCTTTTGGTGGCATTTCTGGCCTAGGGCTAAAAAGAAAAAGTAATGGTTGGGAAATGTTGAGTTTCAGAATTTCCACAGAAAAAATAAAAATGAAATGTCCTTCACAAAACCTCATGTACTCATATCAGTATTAAATGTTAGACATCAACTGCTACTTAAATGTCAAATATTAAATGCTACTAATGAAATATCAAATATCTTTATTAGATATTTGCTTAAGACCAATACAGTACAATGGACAATTTCCTTCCCGGTTGGAAGGAAATTATCCATTCCTGCCAAATATAGAAATCCATTATTACAGCTTCCTCAATTGATGGTCATTCAACCATCTGCACAGCCATCAGACAAAATTGATCAATAATATTGGTATTTTTAAATAATTTTCAGAGAGAGAGATAATTTAGTCATCTGTTAACATTATAGGTTATTAGCTATTCAGAATGTAATACCTCAGAAATGAATTCCATATATGTGAACTTGCTATGTTCAAACATCACATGAAGCACACGTACAATAATTTAGGATGAGATTTTCACTGTCGCATCATTAATTCAAGGATTCAGCCTTAGAAACAGTTTATGCCTCAGTAGTAGAAGCTGCATAAGTAGGCAATTCTAAACCTTAGTTTGCAGACTGCACATTTTAGAAACTCAGCCAGGATTCTAAAATGTGCAGCATGTTTGGATGCTAAGATCCACCATCCCTTCCCTCACGTGCTTTTTCAAACTGATGAGTTTCAGGAGTTACCAACCTCAAAAGCTCCTTTAAAGTTCTTCACTTGAATGGATTTCAAGAACTCGTAGTTGTTGCGAATGTCATTCCGCCTCTTGCCAGTATAGGGCACGTCAACTGTGAGCACCAGGGCATGGAATCCCAATGCATTAACCCGTCGTACCAGCTGCTCTGAGAACGTCCTGTTCCGATGGAGGTAGAGTTGGAACCATCTTAAACCAGTTGGTGCAGCAGCAACAATTTCTTCCACAGAGAAAGTGGAATATGTGCTGGCTATGTAGCAGGTATTCATAGCTTCTGCAGCTTTAGAAAATATGGAGGGAAGGGGGAAGAGTCAAAGCTGACTTCTTTGGTTCTATAATTAAGTCTCAGCCTAATCATCTAGTGCTTCCCATGCAGCCAATAAGTCCCAATGATGCTGGTGGTACTGTAATTGAAGCTCTGTCCCTTTTGTATGTGCATCAACACTGTGTGCAGGCACAAAGGGGCAGAGCTAAAGTTGCCTATAGATGCTGCTGTGCTAAGAGGGACAGCCCTAACCTCTCTGGAGAGCCCAATTCCTACTGCAGTTTCCTGATTATTCTAGAGCTGTGGTGGCGAACCTATGGCACATGTGCCAGACTGGGCATGCAAAGCCCTTTCTGTCAATACGCGTGCCAGAGGGACACTCCCCTCCCCCTCTCCACGTGCGCCCAACTAGTGGGAACTGGAGAAGGCAGGAAAACCGAGTCCAGCAGCATTCTTGCAGGAACAGCTGTGAGAGCTGGGTGGGGAGAGGGGAACCTATAAAAGCAGGTTTTGACGGAAGTACAGCAAGAGAGCGAGTGAGCAAGCAGATAGCCTTTGGAAGCAAAGGTGGCCGTGAGTTTGGAGAAGACAAGTAGGATGTGGTGTCTGTGCTTTGCAGAAGGCTAGCGGGGGAAGGAGGACACATGGACTTTGGAGAAAGGGAGAGGGAGAGAGAGAGAGAGAGGAAGGAAGGAGGGGAGGGAGAAGGAAGGAAGGAAGGAAGGAAGGAAGGAAGGAAGGAAGGAAGGAAGGAAGGAAGGAAGGAAGGAAGGAAGGAAGGAAGGAAGGAAAGCCGGACCCGCCAGTGCCTGCATAATTCTAATCTTTGTGATGCCAAAGCCAGCCAGCCCTTCTGCGGGAGTGCGGGGGGAGGGAAGGAGAGTGGCTACCTCCAAGCACCATGCCTGCCTCCCTTTGGGCTCGCTCGGCCTCTCCCCCCCTCCAGGCTGGGGCTAATCAGATTCTCCCCATGGGCAGCACTGTGCCTGTCCCAGCCAATTCTCCTCCTCCATCCTCCTCCTTCTGCAGGCGGATTGCAGCTTACTGAGCTGGGTGGCGCCTCTCCCCACATGCATCCTCAGACAGAGGAGCTGGGCAGCCACAGCTCTCACTTCCCTCCGTTCTCCATCTACCTGAGGCCCAAGCTTGGTGCGCCTGGCTGGCCACAACAGGCTGGAGAGTGCCGGACAGCAGCAGCTGCCCTGGGACTAGTGGTAGATGGGGTGAGTGCTTCCAATGTCCACAGGGGAAGAAGTGGCGAGGAGGCTCTGCGCCAAGCCCAGTCCAGCCCAGCCCCGGCAAGCAAGGCAGCATCCCCACAAGCATGCCCAAATGCGAGCATGCTCCCGCCCTGACAGGCAAGCAGAGCTGCAGCATCTGTGGCAGAAGAGCGCAGGCAGGCAGTGGAAGATACAAGGAGCCCCGATCCCAGTACAGCCTGTTCTGGATCATGTAGGTTTGTATGCTAGAATGTTGGCATTTATTGGGTTAAGTGCTGTCTCCTTAAGAGATGGCTTATGGGTAATGTAGTTTAGCTAGTCAGCTATCCCATGTTAATAGGTCAGTGGTAGGAGGAAAGGAGGAGCCACTAAGCTCATCACAGGATATCCGGGCCACGTGCCAGTTTGGAATGTCTTTGTTTGAGGATAAGCATGGGGGCCATCGGATGACTCAGATGGTCCCACTCCATGTAAGAAGTTGATGTGGAGGATCTAATGAATTTACCTAATGAAGATGAATAGATGTGCAATATCCAGAGGGAATCTACAAATAGCAAGTATTGTTTCTGACTGAATAAATATCTGTTTTGGAATCATCTTTATTTGAGTTTATCTGTCTGTGATTGGATTATAAAGGCATTTTGATTCATGTCACAGAAAGTAAATTCATTATTTTATCTTCACATTGACTTTAGAGTGAGAAAATTAAAATCAATATATTATCTTCAATATTAACTTCAGCTTCATATCAACACTCAGCAAAACAGCATTGTTCCTTAAAGCATCTGTCTGCATAGCAAAGCTCGTCTTTCTTCGCTAAAATTACATAGTAACTTCAGCTTTAAAGGCTCTGTTTGTCAGCCAATGTTTCAAAAGGAAGGTGTTATTTGGGTGAAACCTCCCTCCCCCAAAGTCTTTCTGCCTAATGCATTGTATTGCTAATATCCTTGCAAGCAAAGACTGCCTCTAAAGTTCAGAGAAAAGCTCGAACAGGCGATTCCCTCCTCTTGTTTATTCTGTATGTTTATTTAAATGGAGTGAAACACTAAAGCTGTGTCTTTACGCAAGCCAAAGGGAGAGATTGGAATGCAACCTAGCCCCACTTTGCATTTAAAAGGAAGAGAAAGGAAATCTTAGTTGCGAGAAACTTTAAAGGTTGTTCTGAACTGAAGCAGCCACTCCCCTCCTTTCTGTTGCCAGAAGCCAAGAGGCAGGCAGTTAACTCTTAACTGCTTAAAAGGGGAAGAACCACAGAGCATTCCCCTTAGCTTGCCTGATGCAAATCGCGGATTTAAAATGAATAGAAATGTGTTGAGTCCTTATGCTTCAAGAGTTGACAAAGCTGCTAGCCAGAAGGCTGATTCCTTTTTTACAAAACCATGCACTCACATCTGATGGAAAGATGGGAGTCGTACTACAAGTGTCATGAAAGATACTGGGAGAAATTACACAAACTCTACCAAGGGCCTAAGGAGGAGCTCTCCTCCGAATGTGCACGCTTATCGGAAGAAGATAAGGAAGACGCCCTCGAGCGATGGATGGGCTCCGAGCAGCAACTTGAAGATATTCAGGTGCAATTAGGAGACCCAACAGTTGATAGCAAGATGCAGAGCCTCAAGCTAAAAAACAAGGAATGTAAGAAGTTTCTGGAGAGCTGGAAGACATTACACCTACACACAGATTGGAAGGGCTAGGAAGGGAAAGCCCTCATAATTGGGTGCAAACCTACATTGACGACCAAAGCGTGTTTCAATGTGAACAGGTGAGAGCGCCGCTGTTATCCGTGAGCCCCCCAAGACCAAGCAGACAAAGAGAAGAATCTCAATGGCCAGATGTGCCGATCAGCCAGAGAGTTGATGTTGTAACATCTAGGTCACAAGATCTTCCCACCATTGCTGCCCCATTGAACCCACCGAACCATACCACTCTTGGCAACCAGATGGGTCCACCTGCAGCAGCAACAGTTACACAGCAGGAAGTGCAACGTCTCCGAGATGAGCTCGCCAGAAAGGAGTCAATATTGAGACAACAGGAAGCAGCATCCCAAGGCACCACTAACAGACCTGACCATGGAGGAGAATCTTGATCACCAGCTGTGCCAGCCTACCAGGGAGCCAGCTATGCACCACCCGAAAGATGAGAAACCCTCCAATAAGTAAGCATGCAAGAAGTCAGGTCCCCTCAGCAAAACGCCAGAGCAGAGGAATTCAGACCAAGCCAACAAGGTCCCTCACACGTGAATTTTAAGATACCCTCAACAGACAACACGCTGAAGAAAGTTACCAGCCAGACATGGCGCACACCCCCGCTCCCGGAAGTGATGCACCACCTCCACCAGACTAAAGCCCATACACGGGATCGCTATATCCTCCAACACTCGGTGGAAGAAAGTCGGACATGGCACCCAGAGGCATACAGAAATTCTCTGACAAACCAGGGGAGGACTATTTAGTGTGGAATCACCTTTTCAAGCAAGCCCTCCGTGGAGAGAGGTTACACTCTGGGGAAGAACTCGGACTTATGTCGCAATGGCTAGGTCTCGAATCCTCAAAGGCAGTGGAGGCGATCCCTGCATCACGTTTAAGTGACCTACCCACTGACCTTCGATGAGCCTGGGAAATGCTCAACAAGTGCAATGGAGCACCTTCTTTGGCACAGGCCTCATTCGTACAAGAGCTCTGTGATTTCCCTAACATCAATATCAACAATCTTAGTCAGATTTGGAGATTCTCCATCTTACTAGACGAGCTCCGGGCAGCACAAGAAAGTGGCACCATGCCTGGACTTGCCCGCCTTGAGCAGTTTGACACACAGAACATTATCACTCGAAAACTACCAAGACAGTTGAAAGATAAATGGTTTAACATAATCCAGTCCCACAGGAAACAGTACCCCAGCAACCCTCCACCTTTTGCTGCTCTTGCAGATTTTGTTTCTGATCAATCAGATATGTACAATGACCCCAGTTACCTTGACATCCATGAAACATGTTTCACGGCGCCAAAACGGATCAATCACAACTTTGGCACTAATAGAAGTTCCTTCCAAGCCACAAAGGACAGAACTCCTATTTCAGTGTACAAAACAGAGATCATGACCTGGCCAAAGAAGACTTCAGAAGAACAATTGCTGAGGAGTATTCATTCCAAACCTTGCCCACCAAGAAAAGGCCTGACTTGTCCAATCCAGAAATCTTCACACTCTCTAAACAATTGCAGAGAATTTGGGAAAAAAATCCCTGGATGATCGAAAGGCCCTACTCAAAGAGCATAGGATATGCTTCAAATGCTGTGACTCTATAAATCACATGGCCAAAGATTGCGCAGTCAGGGTGAAATGCCACCTGTGTAACAGTGACAAGCACCCGGCAGCCTTACATCTAGAATCAAAGAAACTCTCTGAGGAGACACAACAATCAACTTCAAAAACTCCTACGACGATGGAGACTCAACGTGACCCCCCAAAGAACCCAGATATGTACGGGATGTACTACACAGATATATGTGGAGACTCATCATGCCCTCCTTCATGTTCATCCGTCTGTCTAGCAAAAGTCTATCCTGACGGGCAACCTGAAAAGGCTGTTAAGATGTACGTCATACTAGATGCACACAGCAAGGTCACAATAGCTAAGCCTGCCTTTTTCGACCTCTTCGACCTCCCAAGTAAACTGAAGCATTTTGCAATAAATACGTGCACAGTACCAATGACACAGCGGGGAGGAAAATCTCTGGTCTATGCATAGAATCGATAGACGGGAGTTCACATTTCCTGTTACCATCAGTGTTGGAATGG